TTACACAGAGCCAAGGCCTTTTTTGCTCCTTACCTCACCCCACCAGCAAGAGGCTGGGGGCGGGCACAAGGAACTGGGAAGGCACATGGCCAGGACAGCTGACCCCAACTGACCCCAGAGACATCCTACACTGTATGACATCATGCTCAGCATAGAAAGCTCGGAAAAGGAGGAAGGGTGGGACGTTTGGTGTTTGTCTTCCCACATCAGTGCTACACATGATGGAGCCCTGCTTTCCTGAGGATGGCTGAACACCCACCTGCCCACGGGAAAGAGGGAATGCATTCCTTGCTTTGCTTGCACGCACAGCTTTTGCTTTCCCTATTAAACCGCCTTTATCTCAACCCCTGAGTTTTCTCACTTTTACCCTTCTGATTCTCTCCCCCCTCCCAACAGGGGGGAGTGAGCAGCTGTGTGGTGCTTAGTTGCTGGCTGGGGTTAAAGCAGAACAACGAAGAAAGTATTCCAACACTGGTCATAAGAGAATTCTGTACTGAATATTCCATCTCCTAGAGCCCTGCAAAATAGGTGAGATGCTGTCAGAAAACCTACCTCAGATCTAATGCACAAGTTGACTAAGTACATGACTGCAGACCTTGATCGCGACTCAGCCTGTAGCCTAACTGGTTAACTACCTTTGGCAGAAGCCAGAACTAAAGTAAAAACCACGTTAGAGCTACAAAAAGGAAAGTATGAAACTAGCTACGGAAGATCACAAATGAACACCAAGCCATGCTGTTAAGACTTATTCCTCTTGTACTGAACTTCCCCCCCACCACCATACCACACTTCCAAATACCTTCAGGTCACCAGCCTCAGGTTTTTCAGTCTCTGAATCGTCATCTTCCTACAAGACAAGAATTTACAAGATTAAGCTTAAAGAGCAGGCTTGGCAAGTAACTGCACTTAGAGCAAAGGGCTTGCATTCAGCAGCCCAGCAGTAGTCCAAGACCCTTTCCGCAGAAGGTAGTTTTGCCCCACCCACTCATGACCAAAAAAACAAGTCCTACAGTCAGGGAAAGAAGTGCTTGTTCCATTTTGGCAGGGTTTTCCTAGGCAAAATCATCACTCAGTAGCAGATGTACCCTACAAAACTCATGCAGCTCCTGAACTAGAACTAGACAATAAGAAGCAACAGAACTGGGAAAAAAGCATTCATCATTTGATAATTCTCTCTCTTCCAGTTGGCAGAGGAGCTTTTTGCACTTGCCCTTGTTTAGAAGTACCCACAGAAAAAGCAGCATTTGCAAGACCTATTATACTCCCAAGCATACAACAGCAACACACAGAGGACACACAGCTGGCCTGCCATCCAACCAAACATGCAGGCTTGGTGAGGGTCTGGCCTAGCACTAAGTTCCAGAGATCTGGTAATGCCAGCAGACACAGCATCTTTCTTATTTGTGTAGAGCTCTTGTAGCCTCATGTGCAGATGATGTGAACTTACACAGAAGGGAATGACTGACAAATTTCACTGTTTCAGTTCACAGGCTTCATTCAGCTCTTATTTCTACCCAGAAACAAACCAAAGAATTGGGCAAATTTCTGCCCTGTGAGAGCTTAAAGCACTGAACTCAGCCTTCTGTAAAATTCTACACCATGTGAGGAGCAAGCTCCAGCTCTGGCCCCACCTGGTAGGTAAGCCTACTGTTCCACTGCCCTATGAGCTACTTCCTGGGCATCCCAGGGTTACCTATGTTTCTAGGCATAAATACATACGCTGGGTTCAAAACAAGTTTGAGGAGCAGAAAGTGTTTTTCATGCTCACACAACTCAGCAGAATGTTTTTTCCCCAAAACCTTCGCCACAAATTTCAGCTTTGGCCCCAAAACAACAACTTGGTGTTTCAGCTTCAAAAAGAAAAACAAAAAAGAAGATGATTATGTGCAACTGAAAGGAAGAGTTTACAACAAAGTGCCCGCCTCAGAGTATTAGCACACGAGCAAGTTCTAGCAAGACAAGCTAGAGAATGACCACACAATAATGTCAGTAAGTTTTAATTGCCTGAATTAACATGCATCTCTCACAGAAGTGAGATATCAAACTCTTCCACTTCAGCTACTCTCCAGCTTACCTTTCTGAAACATGCACATTTGCCAATAATTCAGTCTTAACTGTCAAAGTTTAATCACAGTAAGTTTGTAACTAGAAAAGAACCATAGTGCCAAGTAACTTGGTGTTTATACAAATGAGATTCCTCTCCTCTCCACAGTCCCACCTATATTATAAAGATAAAAGTCATTTTCAACAAAGCAACAATGGGTTGAATCATTCATGTTATAGACAGGAAACTGAAACAGCTCCCCAAACCTCTTAATCTAGCAGGGGATATCACTGAAACAACATCAACAATCAAAGAAGCATTACTGAGAACTGCCTTTGAAAAGACAGAGGTTTTTCAGTCACTGTTAAGGTTGATAATGTAAGCACAGAGTTGTTTAGATAAAAGCCCAGGACAATCCAAGTCCAACTCGCGCTGCTTTCTAAAAACAACTCATAACCAACATAAGCTACTAGCACAAGCAATATCAAGGAAGCTCTCTACTCTGGTCAAAGAATACTTAATGTGAAAAACCAAGCATTGCTCTCCTGCCATAAGACTGGAGAGAAGGCACTCTGTGTAACCTGCGTATACCTGTATAGTAACTGCAAATATATGTGAGAGCTACTGGCTGACACCAGAGTGACTTGATCAATTGCCATTGCTCGAACAGCAACTTGTACCTCCCAGATTATGGACAGCTGCAACCTGCACTGAAAATTGTGCATGCAGTAAAGGCTACCCCCCCATTTACCTGCCTGTTCATCAATGCTAACTAAACACAGCTGATCTTGACAAGCACCTGGATGACACCTACCACTTTCTTTAAACTGAAGAGATCTCAGAGTCTAGAAGTTTAGGATATAAAAAGAAGGATTACTAAAACAGTAAAAGCTTCGCTACTTTCCTTAGGCAGATGCTAGGAGCAGACCCTGAATGCTACTGCTTACACCTCCAGTTAGCAACAGCACAAAACCAAGAGCAAGAACAAGAGACAGACAAATTTCATGTCTGCTGCTTGGGAAACAGATGGCAGAAACAGTGAGTGTCTAGTAAGACACTAATGCACACAAAGTAGATTTCAATGAGGAAAGGTTATAGTAACACAGCCCTAGCCTTATTTCTTTCCTCTACCAGCTAGCCAAAAAAAACTAGAACAAGGACAAGATAACACATTCTTAATGTGGTGGTAAGCAAAAGCTTGATGAGATAAATAGGATAGGACAAGGACCTCACTCCTCACGCCCCCAAAACTTATTGTTTTGGTCTTACACACACATGATGGAACTATATATCCTTTTCTGTGTCACAGCTGCACTCATCGGCGTGAACTACAGACCTCGTCTCACAGTGTAGCAATTATCTCAATATTTAGGTGATGTTATACACATGCCATGCACCTACAACAAACAAAAGCCACTCACATCTAGACAGGACACTGTTACATCAGGATAACCTGATGCAGTGAGTGGGTTTAGTTATACACAAAAGAATAATTTAAGACATCACAGAACTTTATTCTTTTTAATCCTCCAGCCAACCATGCAACGGTGTGTTCCTTTTACAAGGCTCTCATGTGTCAACTACACTTAAAGAATAATTTTCATTTAGTGTGGCTGTTGAATTGTACCAGCCTTTTTCCCATAAAAGAGTCAAACAGCATTAACACAGTTAGTAACAAGCAACACGAGCTGCGTCAAGCTGCTGATGGGTTTCAAGGCAAATACTTTCTACTTGAAAACAAAGCGAATAGATGTATTTGGGGAGTGCTAAAACCCACAACAGGAGTCAGATATTCCAGGTTCCAGCTTGGATTGCCAGTCAGGGGCTTTCCTTGGGGAGAGAAAAGCCTCTGCAACGCGTGAAAGGGATCAGGACAAGCTCTCGGAGCAGAAAGGTACTTACTGACTGCCTGCTGTTCTCATCATCCTCTTCTTCATACCCGTCCTCATCCCCATCCAGGCGGGTGAAGTCGTCCTCTCCGTACCCAACTGAGACCAGGCCTCCTTTCTCTCCTAAAGAGGAAGGGAAAAAAAGAAAACCATGAGGAAAGAGAAGGTGGCAACGAACGGGGTTTTCCCCTCAGAGAGGGGAAGGCGGCGGGCCGGGGCGGGCCGCGCG